AGCTCTATCCCCTTGTGGCTATGTCCTTGTCTATGGGCTCAAGTGTCCCCACTCTCATCACACTTTGGCCAAACAGCAGTTCCTCTTCTCTCATTCATCTCCACGTCAACGGGAGTCAATGGACTGTGGTTGAACTCAGCCCATTTCTTCATTGCTGCCTTTCCCTCTTCCATTCACCAGTACACCAATGTGGTCGCCAGCAAGCTTACATGCCTGTTCATGTATTCCCTTAGAGTTTCAGTCTTAGAAGGGAGTTTGTCCTGAAGGAACTTGATTGCTTGCCATGATGTCTTCCTGGCAAACAGCTTGCTTATTCTTATAGTAGCCAGACATGCTGACAATTTTGTTTTGGGTTTTTCGTGATGATCTTTCTTTGAAGATGTATCTTCTGTTGCTTTAGCTGCTCCGGGTTGGTCTGATTGTCCTTGCTAGTGGGAATGGCCCACCTCATAAGGTTCTGGATGGGACTTAGGATTCCACCTAAGGTCCTATACTTTACAAAGGCTTTGCAAGAGGCCTATTTCACTGGGCAAGTTCTAGAACCCCTTTTAGGTATTCCAGTCAATTATAGGCTGAAAACGAGCTTACAAGTTTTCTGTAATCATGTTTCCCAACATTCCTTTCTATCCCTCTCAAGTGTCTATTTTACACTAGTAGGCAAGGGAAACCAATATTCATAAGTCAAGCATTTTAGTATTATTTCCCCTCTTTAAACTATGCCTAGATCCCTGAATCACAGAGCCCTGTTGTTCCAAGGTTGAGCATGCATCACTATTTACCTCTGTCCCACTTAGGCCATGCAAATCTACCTTAGTGTTGTTCCCCTATCTTGTTCTTCCACCTCCTCTTCCTTCTTGTATTGTCCTCCCCAACACCTGAGCTAAACCCTCCACCCAACCCCACTGTTGTGGTTACCTCACAGTCCTTTAACTCTTCCCTTAATTTAAGATGGTCTATTTTATTCTATAATCTACTTGACCTTCTCACCACTTGGATCTCTGTTCCTCTGTTTCTACCTTCTTTCAAATTATAATTGTTTTGATTATAGACTGACCTCCCAGATCCTCTGTTCTTATCATTTTATTCAGTTGTTGACTCTTCCATTTGTAGACTGAGTTCAGGGTGATGCTGCCGCATACATCATTCTCTGGTTGTTGTCTGTTCTTGTTGGGTCTCAGTCCTTAATTTATTTTAGAACATTTTTTCATTTGACAGAAAAAGCCAGTGTATAGACATTTCCCATATGCCCCTTTCCTCCACCCCTTTCCATTGCTATTAACATTTTACATTAAGATGGCACGTTTCAGTTGGTGAATGAAGACTGATAATTGTTATTAAGTAAAGTTCACATTTTATTTAGACATCCTTAGGTTTTGCCCAGTGTCCCTTTTCTGTTCCAGGATTCTATGCAGGATACCACACTAAATTGATTTGTCATGTCTCCTTAGGCTCCTCTTGACGGTGGCATTAACGTATTATTTTTTGAATCACCAAACCTGATTGCAAATCTCATGAAAGTTACAACTACAGAAAATTGCACACATTTTAGATGGTTAAGTTCAGTGAAGTCCACTCAGAGTTGATTCAGAAGGCCTGACTTAGGAAGAAAGGGAGAGGTTTATAAATATCCCCTTTCCCAGATTTGGGATCCAGTTCAGACTATGCCTGTAATATTGCGTGATTTTCTGCAAAAGCTGTTTTCCTTTGTGAAATGAGATGTTTGGTTCACCTGATGTCTAAAACCTTTTCTAGCATGGTAGAAGAAGGATATAACCCCTAAAGTATCAACATCTGAGAATCAAGGGCTGGTAACAGACCAACCCAGGTCAGGTCAGGGAATAAAAGACGGTGGGCTAGCCAATAAGCAGGTGGCAGAAGCTCAGTGGAGGAAAATAAGAAAACCTGGTGAAGTTTCACATTCTGTATTTGCGAATCTTCTTTCTTTCTTTTAAAGTAATTTCCTCCTTTTGGGATTGTTTTCTCATCTGTAAATCGTGGAGGTGCTGCTTCTGGCAGTTATGAAAGTCCAGGGAGCAGTGGGGGAGAATGTACTTAGTAAGATGCCGTCTGTCTGAGGAATTATGGTGAGAAAGAAGATGGAGACACGTGCAAGGGTAAAGGACAGATTTGGGGAATGTGATGGAGGGCTGAGGACTCAGGAAAAAAAGGCCCTATTGCTCTCTGACTCTATCTGCACATGGCTAGGATCATTCCTACCTCAGTTCCAGCCCCGCCTCCACCTCGCCTTGCCTACATTCCCCTTAGTCTGCAAGGAGCCACACTTCATATGGCCGCTACGACAGGATGTTTTCCACTGTGCTAGGGCAGCGCGGACGAACCATCGGTTCACTCTCTTTTTCGTCCGCCCTTGGCCTCTTCCAATTGGCTCATCATGTAAGAGACGTTTGTGCTTCATATCTCGCCCCTTGATTTCCCTGTGGCTCCGCCCTGCCTCCTCTTTCCACAGACGCGAGGGGAAACCTAACCTACCCTACTCTCCCGGCTGTTCAGGAGGAAGCTGGGAGAGCTGGCTAAACCAGGAAGGCTCTGATTGTGGCGTGCACGCGTACGCGCACGCACGCACGCACGGACGCCGGCGGCCGGCGGGGCGGCAGGCTCGCGCCCAGGCTCGCTCCGCGCCGCACTAGAGGCTCGCGCACTCAGCAGGTTGGGCTGCGGTGGCGGTGGCGGTGGCGGTGGCAGCGGCAGCTGGGGAGCTGAGACGCTGCGTTTAAGAGGTCCCAGACACATCTTCGGCTCCGTCTCCGGCACCCTCCGCCTCTCTCACCCCAGTCTCCTTCTGGGTGCTGCGGAAAGCAAGGGTGCTAGCCTTGGGAATCCCGAGCACACCCGTGGCTGCTTCCGACACCGCCCTCCTTTCCTTCCAAGCCGCGGGCCTCGCTAGGTACTAGGCGACTCTGCGGGGAGGCGGCGGCGACGGCTGCCGGTCTGTGGAGGAGTCCTACGCTCCAGCCTTGTTCTTCCGCCGGGCCTGCAGGGGCCGAGAGAGCTCGGCTCCTGCTCTTCCTTTTGCCTTTTTCGTCTGCCGGTTGGAGCGGCGTCGGTCCGGGAGGTCTCTGGACTGAGGCGGCGGCAGCTCCTCCGGCTCCATCATGTCCGCGGGCGGAGACTTCGGGAATCCGCTGAGGAAATTCAAGCTGGTGTTCCTGGGGGAGCAGAGCGGTGAGTGCGCGGCTCCCCGACTCGCTGGCAGCTGGCCGGCGGCTTCGCCGCACCGCCCCCAGTGCGGCCCTTCTGTCCGCGGAGGCTCCCTCCACCCTGATCCTCGCCGACCGGTCCCCTTCGCCCCCGGCTTCTCCTCGCCTTATCCGCCGCTCGATTTTCATCTTTCATGCCCTGTCTCTTCCCTCCCCGACTCGGCCGTCTCGATTTCCCATAGCCCGGCCCTCTCTTCTCTCGCTCTGCCCTCCCTAGTCCTCACCCCGCCCAGCCCCTGCCTCCTATCTATCCCTCCTTTCTTCCTTTGGCCGCCGTCGTCTCCCCAACCCCAGCCCCCTTTCTTGAGCCCCACCCTTATTCCTTGCTCTTTGCCCAGTTGGTCTGCTCTATGGGGCCCACCCCAGGAAGCCCCAGTCCTGGGAACAGGCCCTCTTCAACCTTAGGCAAGGAGGGTGGGATCTGGGCGTTGTTTTCCCCAGAGGCTTGGCTCTGGGAAGTGCGGATCCTACAGAAGGTGGGAAATGGTGGTCGTACGGAATTCTTGGATGTTTTTCACTTTGGTGGGGAATTAGTCTGAGTTGTGGTAGAAATATATATGAATTAGAGGCGACCTGAGGATGGGGTAGGGGTTGGGGGTAAACGGGGTGGTGGCAATGGTGGTCTGAGTTTTGCCTCCTTGGGTTAGGCTGCGGCTTGTAGGAAACCTTCATTTTCTTCATTTTCATCACTGACAGTTCTTCTGGCATTGTTGATGCTTTTCAGATCACTGCCAGATGCCATGTCATGATCATTTTACTTGGAATTTTTCACATCTCACCTCCCCTTTTTCTGGTTTTAAACATGCAGCAGTGACTGACTCTCCTCATGGTGGTGCAAACAGGAATTACTGGAGAAATGTTAATTATTCATATCTTTTAAAGTATTTTACGATTACATATTTAGGATTTCTGTGATAAGAGCCTTGAGAATAATGGACATCTTTGTTACGTAGGATTTCCTTTGGGGCTAGGGAGGGAGTACAGTAGTAATAGATTTCTCATCTAGTTGTGTAAATTAGATTAAAATAGTAATACCGTTTCAGTTAAATGACTCTCTGAAGCTTGCTTAGAATTCCGTACTATCTGATGAGTGAAATTGTAATGTCACTTACATGGTTAGGTTTCTGTTGTTGCTATACTTTGTATTAGATGCAAGATCCTGGTTTAGTGATGGTTGTTTCTAAAATTACTTCCAGTTTTATGCTACATTATGCAAACTTGACACTACAGTTTAGAGATAATCACCTTCCTTTGTTTTTCTCTTATTTTCCATGCCTATTTAAAAAAATTAATTATTGGGTACCTGCCAAACGGTCAGAAAACGTTAGCTTTTGCTGGAAGGCAGATTTTGATATAAATACAGACTTTTATTAATACCTTGAACTATTTTTACTAATTTGTATGGCATGAAAGTAGGTTGATTCTAGTTGCAAAATTGCCTTCAGTTGAACCTGAGCAATAATTTTTCCTTTGATATGTAGATGGCCTTTTTCTCTCTTACCCAAGACGCATACACACTCTTTGCTTATAGGTTTTTCAGAAACAAGCGTAACTTGTAGAACCTATGGGGTTGATCCGGATCCAGCATTTTCTGTCAATTTCAGAACAGACCATACATAAAATGTAGGTCATTATTGGTAAGATATAAAGTGCTTATTGTGTGCTCTGGGAATGTAATTGCTGATGCAAAGCTATTTTGTTTGTATGAAAACCCTACTAATCTCTTGTCCTAGGAAGATTTTAACATGTTAATTGCCATAGGATTCATTCTGACTCACAGGGACCTTACATACGGTTTCTGAGGAGCAGCTAGTGGGTTTGAACCGCTGAGTCCAGTGCTGGTCCTACAGCACCTCATCAGGACCCCTTAGCATGAGTGGTGTTGTATTTAAGTGCCATTGAGTAGGTTCTGACCCATACTGACCCTGAATAGGATTTCTGAGGAACAGCTGCTGAGCTTGAACATTGCAGTTCATACCGACTTCGCAGTCCAGCACATTAACTCACAGTACCACACCAGGACTCCTTAGCATGAGTGGTGGTGGTAGTGTGCCTGGCAGTGGGTTCCGACTCATGTGTAGAGATCTTAATTTAAGGATCAGCAAGTTTGATTCTTACTCCTGGTATGGCTCCTGGTGTGGTGCTGTAGGATCAGCACTGGACTGCGAACTACAAAGTCGGCAGTTCAGACCCACCAGCTGCTTCTTGGAAGACCCTGTACAGGGTCACTATGAGTCAGAACAGACACGACGTCATTGAACAGCAACAACTAAGGTTTCCTTTGAGAGTGTGGAGAATTTATGTTCTAATTAATAATGGCCAGAGTTTAATTGTTCCTCATTTCTTAACTTTCATAAAACTTTTTTTCCTCTTTAAACTTTTAGAAACTTTTCTTTGAATAATTACCAAAGCCATCTACAGTTTTCTTGAATTATTTTTTCAAAAATAAACTTTCAGAATAGTTTTTTTGATGTACAGAAAAATTGATATGATAGTCCAGAAGATTCCATGTACCCTGCACCCAATTTCCGCTCTTGTTAACATCTTAGTAGTATGATGTTTATTACAAATAGTGAGCCAATATTGACATTATTATTAACTAAAATTCGTAACTTATTTACATTTCCTTAGCTTTTTCCTAATGGCCTTTTTCTGTTCTAAGGTTCTATCTAGGATACTTCATGACATTTAGCTGCTTTAGAATTGTGTTTACATGCTTTTTGCACTGTGAAATTGTGAAGTTAATTTACTTTTAAGACCATTATATAGTTTAAGTAATGCTTTTCTTCAGCTTGTAGGAGTCCTGTTGTGGCGCTTCAGGTAAATACTCTGGACTGCAAAGTTGGTCTGAACTGCAAGGTTGGCTGTTTAGGTTTACCAGCTACTCCTCAGAAACCCTATACAGGGTCTCTATGAGTCAGAACTGACTTAATGATACCCAACAACAACAACAGCAACAATTCTGTAGCTTTGACTAAAAATTGATGCTTGTTTTCATGAGTAGTGTTTGTAGTTTTCTTACACATTTAGCAAAGATCTGTAGTATCCATGCCATCTTGCTATAAGTCTTTATGAATTATTTATTTTAGGTCTATGTGAGTTCCATAATTCAGCTTCCAAAGATGGTTGTCTATGGCAAAGCTACTATGGTAGTCTATGGCAAGTCTATGGCAAATGCTATTAAGGAAACAAGCTTAAGTCTTGTTTCCTTAATAGCATTTACCACATTTATAATTACTTATTTTTCACAGTAGATTGCAAGTCCCATGAAGATAAAATCTATTCTCTGCCTTGTTTATTGTATCCCCAATCAGTAGCAGACTGCCTGGCAGACAGTTGTTATTGTTAAATGCCATTGAGTCAGTTCAGACTCATAGTGACCCTTTATAGGTTTTCCGAGGAGCAGCTGGTAAGCTTGAACTGCTGACCTTGCAGTTCAAACCAACCTTGCAGTCCATTGCTTTAGCCCACAGCATAACACCAGATAGGCACTCAGAAGTATTTGTTGAATGAATGATGAAATTTATAGTGTTTTGTTGTTAAGTGCCACCAAGGCTAACATACTAGTAGATTTTATATATTTTTGGTATTGTGAAGGTGTTGTCTGCTTATTCTCCCTTATGCAATTATTATTTTAACATTTTGTATTGTGCCATTTGATTGTATGCAATATATTCCAGATGGGGATTAGAGTGGTAACGGGAGTATGATAGGACCTAATACAATAATTTATAGGTCTCACAACGTTGTTTAAAAAAACCCCAAAAAACAAACCTGAAATTTGCCTTTTTTTTTTTTTTAAGTTGAATAGAGTTTTGCTGTTTAAGCTATTGCTAAAGTAAATTATTTGTTCTTAATATAGTGCATAAGAGTTTGTCAGATGGCCTTAAAGATATGTTTGTGGAACTGATCTGAACTTAAACTAGTTAACTTATTAGAAATTTAATGTAATGTGTGTGGTTCTGTGGGTTAATGCGCCAGACTGCAAAGCCATTTGAACTGCAAGGTTGGTGGTTCAAGCTCACCAGCTGCTCCTTGGAAACCCTATTGTTGTTGTTGTTATGTGCCGTGGAGTCGGTTCCGACTCATAGTGACCCTGTACAGGGTTTCTGAGGCTGTAAATCTTTATGGGAGCAGAAAGCCTCATCTTTCTCCCGCGGGTGGAAACGCTATACAGATTGGAATTGACTTGGCAGTATTTGACAACAACAACAGTGTTTTACAATGAAGATAAATTGAGTTAATGACATTTCAGTCTTGGTAATCTTCATATAGACTTAGATTTTTTTATGTTTTAGTAATATGACTGTTTAATAAAGGAATGTTGAAAATGTGTGTGGTCGTCAGAAAGTTTGTGGAAAAATGGAATTAAAAGATGTGGAATTATTATTCAAACTTTTGAAGCTACCTCTTACAGAATTTGAATCTGAAGTTTACTTGAGGAACCCTTCTTGTTACCACCTGTCAATACTGTCTTGAAATGCAGAAACAATTTTGGGAATTCCATTTATAGTTTACAATAGAATTTACATAAATGTAATGAGCCAAATTAGAAACTACTGTAGTAGGGAAAAACAAAAATGTGACTTTTTGCTTTATATTAGTTTTATTTTTAGTTGCCACATGCTAGGTGGGAAAAGGGTGTCTTACTATCAAACCTGGCAGTAGTTTGTATTGACTAGATCAGTCTTAGGACCTCTTTATTATTCTCATATAAATTATTGAGGACCATAAAGAGTGGTAGTATAGTAGTTACCAGTTGCTAGCCTTAAGTTCAGCAGTTCGAAACTGCCAGCTGTTCTGCAGGAGAAAGGTGAGGCTTTCTATTCCTGTAAAGATTTACAACTTCAGACACCATATGCAGGGTCGCTATGAGTCAGAACCGACTCCTTGGCATACCACCACCACCAATATTTTGCATATTAAAATTTAACTGAAAATGGGAAAATATTTAATTCATTTAAA